AAACCATTTCAGGTGACTACCTCTTGAAGCTCATGGAGAGAATGCCAAGAGTGTGCAAAGCAGTAATCAGAGCAAAGGGTGGCTATTTTGAAGAAACTAGAATATAAAACATGTTTTCAGTTATTTCACCTTTTTTTGTTAAGTACATAACTCCACGTGTTCATTCATAGTTTTGATGCCTTCAGTGAGAATCTACAATGTAAATAGTCATGAAAATAAAGAAAACGCATTGAATGAGAAGGTGTGTCCAAACTTTTGGCCTGTACTGTACATACAAATAGATAATATTTATAATATATAATAATATTTTCACTCACAACTTCATATTATACACACACACACGCACATATTTATATATATATGCATATATATATAGATATAGATATAAATATAGATATATACCCTCTCCCCTATTAATCCACAGGTATGTTAAAATTTGCTTTTCTATGATTAGCTTTGTTTAATACCTAATGTAAATGCATTGCAAATCGTTCTGTGAAGTTGTGACATGGTTCTGAGATGTATTGGGAACGTATTTTTGTTGCGGTGTGTCTTAGTGAGCGCAGCCATTGAGAATATTTACCTCTGTGAATTTTGTTTTTCTACTGTTTTGTCAGTGCAAGTTACAGACATTTGCATGTGGTAACATACAAAAATGTGTTTAAGAGATTGTTTTAGAGTATAAGCCAGTCAGCCATGAGTTAATGGTAAATAGAGACATATTCAAACCAGTTTCACTTCCGGTCACTCGCTAACAGGGCGTAGTCATGCCATTTTGAGGTTAAGAGGTTAAGTGCAAGTCTAGGAGAGTGGTATGCTTATGTTGCAGAAAGGTTCTGTGTACGTTATATCAGTGTAGGATGAGTGTAAATGTAATGTATGTGTAAAATAGGATTGAATGTAGTAATGTGAGTAAAGTAAATGTGTTTTTGGGTAATAAAATGTTTTTACTGTTATATTTTATACATATATAGTACATTATATTTTAGTTAAGTCTATTCTTATTTATTTAGCAATGAAAGGCATAATTTGAAATTTGTGTTAAGTTATTTTTCTTTAGACAGAATGTTTTATATTGTTTATTGTCAATTTGGTTTCAACATTTATTTTATTTCTGTAACATGTTTTTGTGTGAATGTCAAACATGAACTTGAATGCAGTAGGGCTGTATATGAGGGGCCAGCAGGGACATTATTCAGAATTACCTCTCACACACACGTGAAATGCTCTTACATACACTACTGAAACACTCTCACATGAACTGAAAAATTATTCACTCACACACACTACTAAAACACTCTCACACATACAAGTGAAATGCTCTTATATACGCTACTGAAACGCTCTCATACATACAAGTGAGTGAAACGCTCTCACACACACTACTGAAACGCTCTCGCACACACTACTGAAACACTCTCGTACACACTACTGAAATGCTCTCATACACACTACTGAAACGCTCTCGCACACACTACTGAAACACTCTCATACACACTACTGAAATGCTCTCACACACTACTGAAATGCTCTATATGAACAACGGAAATGCGGTTGGAAAAGCAGTCTGGAAAGCAGAGGAGATCAGGTAGCAGCAACAGGGGGCAGAGACAAAAAGCTGTGGTCAAGTCAGACAATTTCCAGCAGCCTTCAGTCTTCTTCTTCGTGTTTTTGTTTAATTATGGGTAGCAGTTTGCGTTCGACATGTATTATCGCCGCCAGCTATGTTAGATGGAGTGTGGACCAGCCTTACAGGAAGTTGCAGAAACACTCACACCCCATTAGATCTAACTCAGATTTATTAAAATGTTCTCAGACTCATACATCAGTTTGTACACAGTCTCTCCAGTTGTTTAAATAATGGCATTAAAGTGTTCTACATGTGATTTGTGATTTCTATTCATGGTTAAATGTCAATGTGACATGAATTCTCATGTAAATCATCATCTTATCACTTTGCTGCTGTGTATAACTGAGCTGAGCAGACCTGTCCCTCTAAACCACATCAATACATTAAAAACATTAATAGTCAAACACAGAAGAAAGAGGAGAAAAGCTATATCATATTATTGATCTGTCAGATACTCAGACTGTCAGGGCTTCACGTCTGTCCACATGTTTTTAACAATCGCATCACTTTCAGACATAGAAGTTTTGGTGTTGATAAAGACTTCAATATTAAAATCAGTGCAATGTTAATATATATATTAGACAACAACTATTGTAGGCAGTTTACAATTTGTAAAACTGATTTATTTAGTCACTGATCACTAACTGCTACAACATGTATTCTGTTAACACAATCAACCTTCAAAATCAGACACATAAAATTAAAATAACTCTACTTCAACAAAATAGAGAAGTTTCTATAAAACTTCATATAGTAGAGTGATATAGTAGACATCTAAACCAATCAGCTGTTAGATTAGGTGAGAGCCAGGCATTTCCCATAATGCCCTGGGTTTTGCAGTTGGTGGAGAGCAACGCAGGTTCAGAAAACTGCGTCCGCCTCAGTTTCGTGAGGTTACTGTTGCCAGGCCAGTGCATGACATCAGAGCAAGTCGGGACCAACCAGCTGTTCAGTTGCTCCTCAGAGTTGTGTTGTATTTGTGTTGTAACTGCTTTTATGCACTAAATCACAATGTACATAAATCACAATGTACAGTTGTAATGATTTCTAACTAGACTGTTATCACTAGTGTTACAATTTATGTTATTATATTACATGACAACTGTAAGTGCAATAAAATCTTAATGAGTAAAATGCCAATATGTCATTTATCAAACCACTTGTTCAACAACACATCTGAGTTTGCTTTGAATTTTAAAATTCTACAGGTTGTTGTAAACAGCCTCTCCTCTCTCTACCTGCTGCAACAGGCAGTGACATTCAGAGGAGGACACATTAATGTTAGAAATATTATTTATTTTACTGACATACTTTTTTTAAAAAAATATGTAAAATAAGGCAGTTTTTTTCATGTCCCCTTCAGGAATCACTCTCTGAAATTATACTGTTTATTGTCTCCCTCAACAATGAAATATAGCCTATTTATGCCTGTGAAAAACATTTACCTTGTATAAAAACAAGAAAAAAATGTATTATACCAGGCTTTAGCAAAATTGCTGTTTTTCCAAATCTGAAGTGCCTCCATATCTGAAAATAAAATTCATGGTTTGTAGAAACACTGAAAAAAGTTTCCATAAAAAAGCTTTATGTGTTCTATTATCTCACACAAATGAGAGGATTTCAGTATATTATGTGAATATATTTCACTATAATGTGTGAGAGGTTTTCAGTATATTATGTGAATATATTTCACTATAATGTGTGAGAGGTTTTCACTTAAAACGGAAGACATTTCAGTCAAACCGGAAGGTGTTTCAGTTAAACCGGAAGGTTTTCCGGTCAACAAAAATGCCCACTTCACAGCCTGGTTCACGTGTAGATTGTCAGCCACGTTGTTCGCAACACTAATGTCTGCCCAACAGCCTGCAAGTAGCCTAACCGAGGCAGCAGCTTTACTTCACACTGTACTGGCTTCAGCGGAGACCATCAGAACCTTGTCAAATGTGACAACAGTCGGGCAGCAGCCTACTGTTGCAACTCTAAGCCGCTACACTCTGGACTGTCACATATTGTCGCTTTTCCCCTCCTGACAGCACAGCAGCATGACACTGCCAACTGCAGCTCCAGTCCGGAGAGAGTGTGCGCCGCGTTATCAAGCGCAGCGCTTCAGCTCTTGGACATCAGGCACATCAGGAGGAAGAAAAGGTAATTAGAAATTTAATTTTTTTTTTCTAAATTATTGTTTAATCCAATGAAACGTAACACAACGCAACGCAACATGACATGGTAGTGAGCTAAACAGTTAGCCGTTTGTGCCTCCACTACAAACAAGCGGGGTATTGAGCCCTCACTATAGTGATACAGAGTTTCCGCGGGTCCTAAGAGTCTCAGATCTACTGCAAACTTGGCGTATGTCTTGCAGGGGGCCCAGAAAAGTACACTGTCGAATTAGGTGCATGTGCCAGCTGGTATTGTTTGTAGTGTTGTAGCGTTGTTGCTATGGTAACATGCGGGAATGTGAGTCACGTGGTGGTACGTCAGCAGGTAATAAAATCAGCTGTTCTTCACCTGGTGTGTGAAAGCAGACAGTGAAAACAAATCTTACAGTAGATGTGGGTCACTTTGGAGAAGCAGCAGGAGCACCACTGCAGGAAGCTAAGTTATAAATGTAACGTAAATGTAACTGCTGTGTGAGAGGGTAGCTGCAGCTAAACATATTTTATCCACTGAAATGTAACTAAAGCTCACCTAAAAGATTATCAATTCAAATGTCTACTGTATATCTCTCTTCAAAGCCTAACTTCCATTTACTAAATGTTTTTTCATCCCTTCCATTATGTTAGAAGTCATTTCTGCTCTGCTGTTGCACCAGGCATAATCTAATGTTGTTATTTGGTCATATTGGTTGTTTACTTGAACAGTGCCATGTCTTAAACTAACGTTACTGACTGTTGTTACTGTTGTCTGTTGTTACAGTCTGTAAATCCTCTGTTATTTTCTGCCCCACACTGAAGCAATAATACACTGCATATTACTGCTGTGATTAAATAAATCCTTCATCAGCATTTGAAGTTTTAAGTCAAGTACTGTAGTAAAAAAAATACTGATTATACATAAAAATACTTTTTATGTATGCTCCCTTTTTTGGTTTTTGCTTATTTTTTCATGTATGTCTCAGCATAAAGGAATGGCTGTTTATTATATATTCCCTTTTTACATTACATTTGTATCACTCAGAAACACCAGTCCTATTTCAAGGTGGCTGCTGAACTCTGACCTTTCGGTTGACTCCTCAGTTGACAAATTATGACCTTCCATGCCCTGTCCACAGCCTACAATAGCTAATGAGTCTGTGTTAAAGGGAAGGGCAGAATATGGTTTTTCATGGTAGATTTATGGCTCAGAGAGAAATCACGTAAATAAGGGTGTTAAGGGCTTGAAGTGATAAAATAGGTTAAAATGAATATATTTGACCTAAATATGAATATTAGTGGGTAAAATATAACTGATATTGATAACCACTACCCATTACTGATATAATATTGATAGGGGGTGGGGGTTAGTATTTTGTATTGTATTTCCTATAGCAGTATGACTTATATTGTGTTGGCTGTTTTCATGTGGTCTGATTGTTACATTCTTATTTCAGAGTCAGGACACAGCAGCATGGCCATTTCAACAAGGATGTAATACTACTCCCTAATCAATCATGGGGAGTAGTGTGCAAACAAGGTCCAAAATCATGGTTACACAAACATGGACACATCCTCAGTGCCGTTGAATTCCTGAAGGACTGGGACCACCAGACTGTTTTAGAACGCATCAGGGATGGCTTTGGTGAGCACATTCTAGACGATGTCAGGTAAATGCCTCTTTTTTCCACTTACTTTGTAACATATATTAATAATGTATTTTTCTTTTTATTATAAAAATTGCAATCATGATTATTACAAACATTTGCTCAGCATTTGTTTTAAAATCTACTTGATTCAGTCACACAGTTAATTGGAGCAAGAAGCCAAAGTGGCGCCCCTACACACACAGTAACGACAATGGCTAACAATGAATGTACAACACACTGTTGTGCTACATAGCCTAAAGCTTTTGTTGTTATTGTAATATCCCCATCTTCTTTCTAGCCTCCAGTTTCTCATGGCTTGTGGCAATAAGCTGGTGTCCCCTAAGCTCCAGGGTGGTCAGGAGCTGAATGGGATGCTAATTTACAAGGTCTTTAAAACCAAAGCCCTGTATGTTAGACCATCAAGGACCCTTTTAGTACGTTTGGGATTTTGTTTGTTTTTTACCACTTCAAAAAATTGTGCTAAATATAATAATAAAAAAAAAGAAATATGTATTTTTCTGTCTCTGTTTAAGATTGACTCCGAAGATGAAAATGACTGTTCTCCCATTACTACCAGATCAACGTTAAGCATGCGTGCAACTAAGGGCAGCAATGATTGTTTTGAAGTTGATGGTCCTCAGATTCGCACAGACATGAGCAGTAATGGCACCACCAGGGCTGCTACCAGGTTTAGAGTAATGAGGAGTAATGAGTATCCTGGTACTAGAAGTCATGATGGAGATGGCAAACCTGGCACTAGTACTGGTCATGAAGACAGCTATGGTTCCAATCACACCATCAGCAGTTGTGGTCATGATGGAGGCTGTCTTGCAAAAGGTGATGGGAACCCTGGCACCAGTGGTGATGATGGAGGCTGCCTTGCAAGAGATGATGGGAACCCTGGCACCAGTGGTGATGATGGAGGCTGCCTTGCAAGAGATGATGGGAACCCTGGCACCAGTGGTGATGATGGAGGCTGCCTTGCAAGAGATGATGGGAACCCTGGCACCAGTGGTGATGATGGAGGCTGCCTGGCAAGAGATGATGGGAACCCTGGCACCAGTGGTGATGATGGAGGCTGCCTTGCAAGAGATGATGGGAAACCTGGTACAACTGATCATGATGGTGACTACGCTTCATATTTGACACTTGTGGCTACTCTTCCGCCTGACTCTTCAGATGATGAGGAATTAAACCAAGCCATAATTGCCAGTATGTAGAGTCAAATGTGAGTAGCACACACATAGTATGTGAGCTTGAGAGATCAGGATAATGCTTGAGAATGATGTGATCTCATAATTGATATGAATCCTATATCCCTTACATTATCACATCCATGTTTTGGATTAAATGGTTGCTTACATCAAAAATTTCACAAAATACAAGTTGTTGTCTGGTCATTCATTTTTGATTTTGTGTTTATAGTGCAGAAAAGGTCCCGGTCCAAGAGATACTGCTGGAACTGTCAAACAAAATTAGCACAAAATGGCAGTGCAAATTTAATATAAATCTCTCTGCTGTATGGGAGGGAGCCATGCGGGGCTTCCGAAGGGTATCCTATGACCCCACTTGATGATCTGTGTTAAATTCTCCGATGACATGGGGAGAAATGAAGAAGGAGTTGATTTAGGAGGACCAAGAAGGGAATTCTTATGGCTGCTGATGGAGACTATTGCCAGGTCACCCATGTTTGAAGGAAAATAAAACAGCAAGAACTTGGCTCTTGACAGTACTGGTAATGCCTGGCTTTTCTAAAAATTCATAATGTGAGCCATTTTAATTTATTGTGATTTTGACATGCTACTTGTAGCTTTTGAACAGATTTACATTTTATATAATATAATACTGGAAATCCCATGGTTTCATATAGTAGCGTGTCTTAATGTATTTCCTCAAATAGTGATGGGGGCCTTTACTTACCTCAACTGTAGAAGGTACCAGGCTTTTATAAAGTGGGCTTGTTTTAGAGGCAGGGCTTTAAGCATAATTGGTCATATTTTAGTATTAAGCGTTAATCTGCCTACTGCATTATGTGTTAAATTCAAACTCAGCACTTTCTGTTTTCAATTAAAACCCCTCTACAGTTTCATCAGATTGAATCCCTTCTCTTAATACATTTTTTATTGTGAAACATTTGCAGGAATGTGTTGTGGAAAACTTTGACTTGCAACTTTCCCATATGGCCCTTGAAATTTGGCTACTGTCATCTTGTGGCACATGTATTGTACTATGCAATCCAGTTTTGCTAAGAAATGCATCCACAGTTACTGAATTTGGATAGTCACTCTGAAAAGGAAAAGTCAGTATTTTTCACCCTGGACTTAGCAAAATTATACTGCTGAATTTATTAGATTAAGTGATTCGAAATGTGCATCATCCTTGACATGCATATTATATGGCAGCTCACTTCTCCACTCATGTTTTAGATCTAGCTTTTATTTGTTTGTGTCAACCATGGCCCCGGTCATCATTTGAGACCCAGCCTTTAATTGACAGCCAGTTTTGTTTGCTGAAATGTGGTATTTATGAATATTATATTTCCTTTTATGCCATTGTTTTGCAGCTCTAAGAGAGGACTGGTACTACATTGCTGGCAGAGCCATTGCAGTGAGCTTGGTGCATGGTGGTCCACCACCAAACTTCCTCTCGCCAACAGTATTTTGTCTTCTGGTCAATGGTTCAGCAAATCCAAAACTAGAAGATATAGCTGACACAGAACTCTTGGAAAAAGTCAAAAAGGTCAGTTGATAGCTTTTAAATTTTATACTGCATTAGAATTAGTTTATTAGTTTATTATTAAAAGGTTCTCTTGTTTTTCATTTTGAAAAGAAGTATCAGCCCAGTTTTTCCATATGTTGTAATTTGAATGCCACCACTATTCAACGGACAAGTGTCGACAGCAAAGCATATTTTCCTTGTTATTTATCGCATTGTAGCAGTGTGTGGAAAAAAACCTGCACTGCTATGAACTTTTAGGGGACCTCTAGGCATTCTGTAGTATGCAGACCACTAGTGTCTGGGTTCTTACTAAGTTAAAAGACTAATAAGAAACTTCCATAACAAGCCATCTTGCTGTTTCTTGTGATACTAGGTGTCTGAAAGTACAACCCTTGAGGACCTTGAGAATTCAAATGCACCTTTGCTTGACTACTTGGCCAATGCAGGATGTCTGAGGCCTATGCGGTTGATAAGAGACAGGAATCTGCTGGTACAAGACATTGTCATGTTTCAGGTCATCCACAGGGTTCAAGGTCCATTTCAGAGGTATTCAGTGTTAGTTGTTGTACAGTCAGATCAATCTCAAAAGGAGTAATAATTGTAACCATTGACCAACAAGGTGTAAGACTAGCTTCACAAAATCTGTTATGTTTGTATAAAACCAAGTGACAGTTTGACAGTGTACAGGTGAATTATGGATTGTACAGTTATTCCGTGTTGTTTGTACAGATTCTGTGAAGGACTGAAAACTCTTGGGGTTCTGGACCAAATACGACGACATCCAGACAGCTTTCGACCCCTGTTCTGCTATGAGCCGAAAACACTCACTGCTGACCAGGTGGATGATCTTTTCAGCATTCGTCTCTCTCCAGAAGGGAGCAACAAGAGAGCTGCTGAGGAGATGGTTGTTACTTTCTGGAGGGACTTTCTCCAAGATGCAGAAGGTAATTAATGGTTTAATGGTCAAATAAACTGATGCATCTGTTTTTTTAGTATCATTCTTTTTTTTCAACATTATCACAAAGCAACCTGCGAATGTTGAAAGACCTTTTATAAATTTATTGCTATAAGAGGCTTTCAGATTTTAGACGCTTTGGTTTTGAGAAGTGAAATACTCTTACTGGACAATTTATTCAGTATCAGCTGATGTTAATTGCTTTAGAGATGATTCACATACACATTTATTGGACCAACTACCACTGATAATATTTTTGTTTTTATAGAAGAAGAAGGGCCATCCAAACTAGAGAAGATATTGGCCTTCACAACTGGAGGATCTGTGGTACCACCTATCGGCTTTCCCCCAACTCCTTCTGTCCAGTTCATTCACAAAGGAGATGATGGCTTCTCTACATCAATGTTCCCTCTTGCCAACACATGTGTTAACTGCATCAAGTTGCCACTACATGTGTCTTACCAACTGTTCAAGGAGAAGTTTGACTTTGCATTAGGAAACACATATGGGTTTGGCTGGGCATAAACATGTCATGCTCTGAAAACTTCAGTCTGTGTCTCACTTTCTCTGTCTCTACCTTTTTGCTTGTCTCAGTCTGTTTTCTGAAGAAAGTTAGTTGTTAGTTGTCTTCTGAAAGAGAGTTATTGGTTTCATTTCTGAATGCCGTATGCAATATAACTTATGTATTTTATATAGTTTCACCACAATTCAGTTGACTCAGTCAACCTATGTTTTAAAACATATTTACATTTATTTTAACGGCATGTTTCATATTCTTACCAAACTTTCTTTTAACATATACTTGTTTAGACAATTAAAATTTAAACAATTAAGCTGAACATATTCTCTGTATAACATGTTCATTTGTTTTTCATAAAATGTTTTACAATGTTTTAACAAAACTTTAATTCACAGAATACACTGCACAAGTGAAGAAAACATTTTAACAAACCTTAACATTATTCCCATGTTATTTACTGAAGAAAGTGCAGAAGTGAAGAAAATACATCTATTCCATGGTTCCCATCATTTTCAAGTGTGTTCACTTGTTGAATAATGTTCATTGTGGTCTCATTAATGGTTACATCTATGTCTGTAATTACAACATTATTATTGGTTTGAAGTTCAGGTAATGGCCCTTCTTCATCAATGTCATAGTAGTTATCTGCATCAAAAATGCTGTTTATAGCTGGATGGATTCCTGCATTATTAATGACACCTTAATGCCACAGCTGAAGAGGTGTCTGCCCCCCTTGTGTAGAGTGGCCATGGTTGTTCCACTGATTGATTAATTCTGTTACTGCTCTTTCAATCCTTGGTAAATAAACATAATGCAGACAAAATAAATGTAGTTCATTCAGTGAATCTAGTACACCGTGTTCCTCCATGAAGTTAAAGATATTTATAAAGTGTCTAGATACAACTCTATTGAGTTCTGCCCATAGTCTCCCAATCCTTTGGTTGTGTACTGATACACCTGTAATAACACTGTTCAATCCTCTTCTTTCCAACATAAAATGGGCAACATTTATATTTTTCATACCATTATCACGTCTGACCCTTAAAGGCAAGCCAAAGTTCTGTACTCCGTCTAGAAATAATGACAAGACGGTTGAGGCTCTGTTGTTGAACAAGCACCATAAGTATATAATAGTCCGGCTGAAGCCATCCACACAACCATGAAAGACCATCCGCCACCTGACCAGCTTGTGGTTGCCGTCAAAATGCCTGTTGGGAAGAAAATATATACTTAAAACTATATATATGTATATATACGTATATATGTACATATGTATATGTATACATATGTGTGTATATATATGTGTATGTGTATATATGTGTGTATATATATATATATAAATATATATGTGTATATATATATGTATATGTATATATATACAGTACAGGCCAAAAGTTTGGACACACCTTCTCATTCAATGCGTTTTCTTTATTT